TGAATTAGGCTCTAGAAAAATTCAAAACAGAAATAATCTCCCAGATAACTACAGAGATGGTGAGCAGAGTAAAAGGCATGATTAAAGGCTCTAGAACAGAAACAGACTAAAAAAATAGATGAGCTCAGAAACATGCTGGAAGCCATGATTGCCCAACATAAGAAAGAAATGGAATCTATGAAAAAGATTCAAACAGATATTCAGGAAATTAAAAACTCCATTGAAAGCATGCAGAGCAGATTAAGGGAATGTGAAGATAGAATATCAGATATAGAAGACAGGATCACAGTTAAGGACCATGAAAACAGAGATTTCTTAAAAATAGTACGGAACCATGATAAATCAATCCAGCAGCTGCTAGATGATGCAAAGAAGAATAACATAAGAGGAGTCACGCAGAAGACACCGAATCAGCCCACTGCAGACAGGCAGGTCTGTGCACGCCCTACTGAGGTCCTCAGTCACGCAGAAGACACTGAATGACCCTGCTGTAGACAGGCAGCCACCTGGTTACACACTACAAAGATGCAGAGGACACCAGACCACCAGACCAAGGTACTGAGTCTTGCTGCTCCCGACCCAGAGGCAGGGGCTTCTGAGCCACCATCCTACTGCTCCTGGTCCAGAGGAAGGGGCTTCCTGGTCACCATCCCTCCCGCTGTTCCCAGCCCAGAGGAAAGGGCTTTTGGGCCACCTTCTGTCCCACTGCTCCTGGCCAAGAGGAAGGGGCTTCCAGGCCACCAACCCTCCCACCATTCCCAGCCCAGAGGTAGGGGCTTCTGAGCCACCATCCCACTGCTCCTGGTCCAGAGGAAGGGGCTTCCAGGCCACTATCCCTCCCGCTGCTCCCAGCCCACAGGAAAGGGCTTTTGGGTCACCATCCCTACCACTCCTCCTGGCCCCTGTCCCACCTCTCCCAGCTCAGAGGAGGTAATCCGTGCAGGTGCTAACAGCCTCCCGCCCCAGTCAAAATGGGAAAACACATAAATAAGTCTCAAAACCAGACTTTCAGATCACCTACAGCAAAACCCCAAAGGAAAATGAGATGGAACACTCTGATACTCAACCACCTGGACCCACTGAACTGGCAACAAAATGGAATCTGGAAAAAATGAAATCAGAAATAACTTCTCACATAACAGGAGAAATTGTGCCCCTAGTGCAAGACACGATTAATAAATCTAGAGAGGAGCTCAGGAATATGATGGAATCCCAACATAAGAAACAAATGGAATCCATAAAACAGATGCAAATAGATTTCCAGGAGATGAAAAA